CACTACATCTTGTTCTTGTGCCCTATATCACGAAAAGACTAATTTTTTTAGCATTTACGCAATGAATTCTGCGATATAGTGGACACTAACATTGGGAGCTGACAGACTGAGTATCGTCACAGTCTGCATTTTGCAACTACAGAAATAATTTGCTGACCAGGAAAATGTACTTGACTGACACACATGACATGTTCCTTTTAACATGGCGAAATGGGGCACTGTACTGACGATTTCCAGCCCATTTCACACCGATTCTGCCGCCTGTATTTACAGCTCAGGAATGAAACACAGACAAGTTATCAGGTCACTGTACATACAGGCCTGCTTATTTGGGAGATCTAAATGGCATTTCCAGTGCTTTTATTAATTGTCAAAATTCGACTGTGTTCCTCTCCATGGTGTATATATTAACAAATAGGCGATTTCAGGCCCCCGTTCTCTCCCAATCTCCTGGTCAGGGATATTCATTGTTTGTATTTTTAAAATTTTTTCTGAAACACTTTTAGATGGAACTTACAATTTCACTGAATACGCCATCAATTTCGGTTGACAAATACACAGTGATGATTGCTTCTCGATTCCCTGTAAAAAGTAAGCCTCAATTTGCGGCGATTAAAGTAAAAATAATGATTTCTGCATGTGTGCTTAATACCGTACCTGGTAGCTCTTTATTGCGTACATCGATAAATTTAATCATAGAACTAGAATGTGAGCAGTTGGCGTGTTGCTTCGATTCTCTGGACAATGGGTCGGTGTCATCCCACTTCTTATAATCCTCATTTCGTTTCAACGCACGCACCAAACGTGATACAGCCACTGAAGATGTTAAACTGGCCTTTCCTCTCTAAAACCAATCAGTCGCGTGAACATTTACAAAAGGAAAAAAACCTGTGAAAATTTTGTGGCAACCCCGTGCGAGGCACTAAGGCCAACCTTTTTCACGAGTTCATGCCTCTTCCAGAGTGCATCGACCAAATCGATGACATGCTGGCGTTTTCGCAGCTTCATTCGTGCTTCCGCAACTCGTCGAGCAGTCCTCGTAACAAATGTAGAAATTGGAGGTTTGTAAACATTTCCAGCAGTTGACGGCTGCAGCAGCAAAATAGAGCAGTAATAGTAGTTGTAG